TTTTTTTTTTTTTGGTTGACAAATGAAGTAATTCTCATCTCAATGTTATAATCTGCAGCGTTTATGTTGATCTTTCTGTTTGAGCTTTGAATTTTTCGAATATTTGTTTTGGATCAGTGGATATGTGATCGGTCGTAGATGGTTCATTTGTGTTCGTTATCTCTCTGTGTGTGTGTGTGTGTGTGTGTGTGTTTTAATCATATTCAGCTGATGTTAGTAGCTAAATTTGGACGAATCACTGGATCATCGTTTGCACCATGGATCAATTGTGTTTTACAGTCCTTTCTATTTGATTGCGTTGGGTTTACTTGTGAGATTTAAGTTATGAGGCCTCGATATTTTGGCCGAATGCTCTACTCTGCAGCATATATGTTCTCTGTTGATCTCCATGTCTGAGATTTGAAATTTTATGATATGTTTTTGGATCAGTGGATGTGTGATCGGTTGTAGTTGGTTGATTTGTGTTTGTTATATCTGTTTCTTGTCATATTCAACTGATTTTTAAGAGCTAGACAAATCACAGGATCATCGTTTGCTCCATGAATAATTTATGTTTTGCAGTCCTTTGTATTCATCTGCTTCGTTTTTACTTACGAGGCGCCCCAGTATTTTGGCCGGAGGTAGGTATTTCTTGTTATGCAATTTGTAAGCTGTTGCAGACAAACACACGAGGGACTTCAGTATAATTATTTTCCGACAGCTGTATTATGAGTACTACGTCATGAAATCTCTTAGTACATTTATAGGATTATATATGTTCCTATTGACGGACTCGTGATACACAAGGGTAGTTCTTTTTAGATTTTGTGAAATCAAAGTGACATGTGCGGGGGTCATATATAGTACACATGGAACAATTGTTATACTTTACAACCATAGATGATCCCCGTTGTAACTTTCTTTAACAAAAAACTTCTTTTACATCTCCCCTCACTGCGTTTTTATCGGATAATCACCACTTACAATCATGAAACTATAAGGTAAGATAAACTGTGGACTTTCTGGTACTATTTCCATCTAGTCAGCTGCAAATCGACATGTGAATTTGCTAAAAAGCATTGCAGGCTCATGAATGAAAGCTAACATGTCATGTGGTTTCTAAAGTCTTACATAGCGAGTATATATCTTGTGACGTACATTGCTCATTTTAAGTAGATTTCAGTTAGAAAATTTGTGAGCCCTGTTCTTTCCAAACACAAAATGACAAGGAATTGCATGATAATGGTTGCAGACATTCAGATATACTAAGCCAAGAAAGTGAGTGTATGCATAAAAATCCAGAAATCCTGGTAATTTTACAGAGCTCCAAAAGATTTGGAGACTTTAGTTATTTAAATTATCTCCCTATAATCAAATGAAGACACAAGGCTTGTTGCTCCAAATCTCTATGTGTGTGTGTGTGTGTGTGCGTGTGCTGAGCAGTAGCTATCATGATAAATTGCCTCGAGTGCGTGTGCTGAGCAGTAGCTATCATGATAAAGTGCCTCTCAACTCCAGCTAAATCCATTTAAATCCAATTGCTTGCAACCTGAAGCAACACTGCCTTCGCCGTCTGCATTGAGGTCTAGTTTTGTCGACAGATAAGGAAATTTCACTTCTGGTGATATTTTATGCTTCCCCTGTTTAATTGAATCATTGCTATCTGTGTTTGGGTAAAAGAGTTGGTCCTCTTCTGGACAGTTGTCGTTATGAAAGCCTGTGCTCACTGTTAAATTGTTGAAATCCGTTCCAGCTGCAAATTCATTGTCACCATCTCCATTCATCATCATAAGATAATCTCTCTCCCCTGAAAATTTGGTTGTGTGGTTTGTTTGCACGTGTATATCAGAGAGTTCTTTAATTCCTGAAAATGCGGAACTCAGACATTGCCCAGTTGATACTTTGGAGACAAATTCTGATAACTGAATCTTTGCAGCCTCGAAGCTAGTTGTACCTGAGTTCTGCCTGTCGAGTGATTCCTGTGCTTTCTCTAACACAGACTGCAAGTATTTGCCTTGGGCCTCTATCCGCATCTGCAGATGACGCTGTACCTATAAAGATATAAACACTTAACTTGGTTTGAAGCATCTTTTATCGAAGATGTAAACTCTTTCACAATTCTTTCCCTCTTAGAATTACAGAAAGTATTTCAGTATTGATTTTTGTAAATGTAGAGCATATGTTTCTTATACCTCCAGCTGTTCATGTAATCTTCGCTGCACTTCAATTTGGATCTGTATTGCTTCTCCTAAATGTATATTTCTGATATAAGGTACCAAAATTATGAAAATATTAGATTAAATGAACGTACCAATAATATTAGAAACAAAAAGTAAGGTCTTCGAGTCATACTTAGTTGTTTGGTTTGCAATATTTGGATCATTCATGCGAGTTCCATTTACCTCAGGTACTTTATCTGCTGGTGCTGCAATCATTTCCAAAGGTAAGCAAAATATATTGAATATATATTTGACATTAAACTATAGATATAATATGAAATTATGCACCTGTAAGATAGGATTCCTTACAAGCTTTATTGTTCCCACTATTAGCTTGTGCTGCTAGGTTTTTACTTAGTCTATATTTCTGAAATCAAAGTTAAGAAAATTAGAGACACAACAAATGTGATCAAGATTATTATAGCATGCATATATGAGAGCACATAAATATCTTGTCGGATAATATATTTTATTTATGCTACGTTCCTGATGAAAAATATATTTTGTTCTGAGGGAAATTTTTTGAAATCTGAAATTGGGATGTGTGTGTGTGTGCGCGCACGTGTTCATAATGAAAGGTCCATGCTATTGGTCTCAATTAGTAAAAGTATTATGCGACTTTCAGAGACACTATCTCTGTAAACAATACTCACACTTCGTAATCAAGATTTTACCTGGAGGTGACTCTTCAGGTGATACAATGTTAGCCCCTGAATTCCCATAAGTTTTAAGACTGATTTTGGTGTAGCTTCTGCAAAACACAAAGGAATATAATGTAGCCGAACTCAATATCATATACTATTTGATGCTTCCAAGATTTTCAAATACAATGCACAAAACTTACTTTCTGCTCCACCTAATTGGTTAACTGCCTCGACAAACCGTTCGTGCAGGTCATGCGTCCATTTCAGCCTCGGCTTAGCATCAGTTGAGAGCACAAGACCTGAATCTCCATTTCCATTCACTCCGTGAATAAACGAGTTCCTTTCTTGGTAAATGTTCTTTCCATGGTGGTGATGGTGTTGATGATACATTTTTTTTTTTTTTTTTTTTGTCTTCAAATTATAATTCTGTGAAGGTTAGATTCAAGAAAATAAGTGATGTACCTGAATGGTTCTAAACTGAATGGTAATGGTGTTGTTATTTTGATTGTTTTTTCACATACTAGTGTTCCAATTTGGAATGATGTCTTATAAGCAGATAAGAGGGAAAAAAAGGTTGGGAATACGATACAGGTGAAGCATAGAATCTTGGACAAGGCTAAAAGGTCATCAGATCCATATTCCATTCCAATATGCTTATGTGGGTCCTGATTAGCTACTCACATTTCCATTCTCCAGCAGAAGCACACTATTCATAATAATATTCCTGTCACTGTAGGAAATGTAATGCGTCACTTTAGGTACAAGAATTGATCCACCTTAGTCTATGTTTTTCCAGTGCACTTGGTATTTGTGATCTGCAAACGTTTGGGAACCTTATTCCGCAGACGGATGGTGGAATTTTATCCCTCTGAAGTGATCGAGGAATCCACTATCGTCGAAAACTTTGAAATTACTGACCTTTTTTCTTTCTTTGCTTTATTTGTTCACAGGGAAGATTCTGTTTTCAGTCAGCGTAGGATACATCTGAAGGGGAAAAACTGGTGATTTCGGTGTTGCCTTGATATTTTTGGGTAATAGTGATTTTCTATTCACTATTGTGATTATGAGTTTTTTCTCTTGGGGAATTTGGTTTTAGTACAGCCACAAGGACACAGTAAAGTAACTAGGCTAGCGTGCAAAGTTCATGCATCCTTTGAACCTGGTTTCCTGGTAGGCTTATCATTAAAGTTAACCTTGGTCATATGAACTGCTTAGACTTCAACTGTTCAACACATTATCCAGTTTAACCATACGGAGTGTTCACGTAAACTAGTGTCTTTCAAGGAAGTTATTTATCGTAGTTACAAGCTGTTGAGGAAAAAGAAATTGGTAACGTGTGCAGATATAAACTGAAAGTTGAATTCATCAGGATGAATAAGCTGTTAAAGGGCTTATTAGATTGTTAAGTGAAACCTAAAGCAAAATTACATAACTAAAGCACCTTCCTGCTAATTTAAGATTCTGATTAAATTATACACTCAACTGGAAGCTGACAATTACTTATTTAAGTGATTTCAAAATACTCCCTATTTTTTCCAAATCAATATCACTTGTTAAGTTCTCCCTTTTTCCCTTTTAACTCCAACATCTACTTCTCTACTCTTATTAACTCTTATTGATCCCTCTAAATAAAAGGTTCCAAAGTTCTTTCTGCTAGTGATGGAATTTATTCAGGAGGTGTGGACACCTGCTATATGCTGCTGGTTCTTAGAGAATCATATAAGCACTAGTTAATAAGTGAGAACGTGCTCCTTGGCCCTGTTTGTCGTTGATGTATACAGAAAGTTGATTAGAAAATATATCCTTCTCGCAAAATCTCGTGTTAAGAGATATATATGCACAGTGTTGTCGTATATAATCTAATACATTGAATCATATCGAGAAAATGCATCTTTTTTTTCTCTGTTTTTTCCTTATTGCTTCTTTTTAAAGCCAAGAATGGAATAAGGAACACATTCCTTTTCATCCCCTTGTGCAAGTTTGGTACTATTCTAATCTAAACTGGAGTTACATAGTGAAAGGTGTGGTCCCAGTTAGATCTTTTATTAAAATTTCCAAATTAAAAAAAAAAAAAAAAAATTAATGGTAGTACTTTGTTCAATAATTTTGGTTGGAACGGAATCATAACACAGCCAGAATCGGACCACTAGCTTTGCGCTTGACTTAAAACTGAACTGCATGTACAGTACTTGAACATGAGCCCAGAAATATTTATCGAAGTATGATTATCATTTGCCATTACTGTGTTACTTTGATGTGAATGTGTGCTGGAATATGTACATTTAAAGACATGCATATTATGGAACTGTAGACATTAGTTGTGTTATTTTCTCTCGGATTTGGCTGTGACAAGCATTTATGCTGAACTAACTTTATGAGTGAAACAAACGTTCGAGTTCTCATTATTTCTGGAATTCTCATGCAATTATAAACGAATACTTATCCAACTTCTGCATTTTTTTCCTATATTTGGCTGCAAGCCTTGTATGATTATACTCAATATCTAATTTATGTTTCATTTGTTATTTGAACAACTAGAAGGGTAAGGACAGTTGGGCTTACCAATCATTATATTATTAGTGATATGATTCTTAAAATATGATTCTCATATCGAAACTGTGCCTGTGCTTTAGTTGCAACTTGCGATTGAGCTTTACGTGACAGGTCTTTTGATTATTGTATCTTATGAAATATTATGCAATTTCTGGAGGATTTTTTTTTTTTTTTTTTAATTTATTTAAAATCCTTATAATGCAAAGAGGTGGACAGCAGAATTTTTCAATAGTTATGCTTGGTTTCTGGATAGGAATATAATGAAAAAGGACGCCTCGTGCATGTCCAAATTGCTTATATTCAAACGATGTATAATATTCCACATTCCTGTACAAATACACCAAGAAAGTTCAGTGTTTTTAATTGTCTTATATCGTGTCTTGCAGGTGCCCAAAATTTGTTGCCATAAATGGTACTGTTACAAGTACTCGGAAGTCGGAAGTCACTTTTCTTTAGATGTTGCCATAAAGCCATTACTGCAGTTCATCTTCTGATCGTACGGTATGAGAAGCACCTTATACTTTTCCATATTGGCTATACTGCATTAATTCTGCATTATAAAGTTGTTCTGCATGTGCAATATTCTTCATCTTTGATTTGACTGCTTATTCTTTCTTGTACTTCAACTTTCCTATTTTTGTTCACTTCCTGTTTTGCTTGCACAGTTTAACTTCACAAGAATCTTAAGTAACATTTTTATCATAAGCAATAGAGAGAGACAGAGAGAGAGAGAGAGAGAGAGAGAGAGAGAGAGAGAGAGAGAGAGAGAGAGAGAGAGAATGGAATCTAAACTCAAAGATGGTGGGCTGGATTCTCAAGTCAAGAATATTTGCTTATTCTTTCCTACTCAATGCCACAAAACATGGGTTCCCTCTTTCCCTTACCATTCTTTATACTCTTGTTTAACAATATGAGATGCCCCATTTATATCTGATTCTTGATTAGTAATGTCCACTTTAGCATTCTTTTGTGGTAATCCTTGAAAATCTATCATCTCTTTTTCTTTGCACCGATAAACCGTAGTTGGAATGGAATTTCTTTTTTCATGTTCTATTTTGTGTTTCATTTTGTTGAATAAATGACACGTGTACTTGATGATGTCATATTTGTACACGTGTCATTTATGTAACAAAATGAAATCTATATTTATAATATATATCTATATAATAAGAATAACAATTTACTAAAAATATTAGTCAAACTTTTTAGGAGCATTTAATGCTTACCTTTTTTTTGGAACTTTATTAATTGTATGCATTAATTGCTTCCATATAATTAAAAATATTATTTCCTTAAATAATTTTATTAATATCTGAGATAATTTTATTGATATCCATTATAATAAATTACAAGACTGATTTTCCGTGATTTATGTTGATAATATTTTGGTCAATATAAATATTACAAATTATTTTAAGTTTAAACCATAATATTAATTTTTTTTTTTCATAAATATTCACCTTTTATTTAAAATTATTTATAAGAAATCATAACACGTTAGGTAGAATTTTTTCTTCCAATTACTCACGCGAAATCAAGTTGGTGAATTAATCTTTGCAATATAACTTTTTATTAGGCTTTATTTCGTTGTATCTAAAAACTAAATTATTCTTCCAATTAATAAGATTACATTTAAGAGATAATGACAAGATACATTAAATAGTTTTACTAATTGTCAAAAATTAAAATTGAAATATATTAACTGTTCTTTAAATATATATATATATATATTATTGGCAACCATGATTATTTTTTTATCTTTTTTCTTTATTTTGATTTTTTTCTATAACGAAATTTTTGTACAATATATTTTCATTGTAGAGTATGCTAATTAAACTATAAATCTTTATAATGCAAATTAGAAAAATCTTTATTATAGAATGGATTGAGTTTTTGGCATTTGCTAAGTCAAAGTTGTTTAATTAGTCTACAAAATTAAATTCTAAAAAAACATGTGTGCATATTTTGTAAAAAATATAATATTTAATTTTAAATTGCATATTTTAAATTGATTACATAAATAAGTAATGCTAACGTGCATTAAATAATTTTCGTTACATAAAATAAAAAGACCAAGCAGACACACAATTTCTATAACTTTTATAAATAATAATGATATTATATGTCAATAAAGTTTATAATAAAATAATAATTAATTATTACATGGTGAACAAGAATAAATAAAACTGTTATTTTCTTTTATATCAAGGAATAATATACTAGTGCAATACACGCGCTAGTTCTATTAAGGTAAAAATATAGATTTGGATTTTTGCATGATTGTAAGAACGTAAACGCATGTATTGGAATAAAAAAAAAATGTAACTTATATATTATTAAACACATCATTGCACACAACATTATTTGTTTGGTCTGTTGATACATCGTCTATCACCACAAATTAAATTAGAATTCTAGATAGACTTAAATAAATCAATTAAATTATTTAGCAGGATATATATGATATGATTTATACTGGTTTTATGAAGAATGCATAGCCTAATATAACGGAGATTGTAAAATGTCTTTCTTGATAATTTATAGTTTTATTATTTTAAAATTTTAAATTATTTAATTTAAGGATGAAAAATTTATGTAAGTGTATGCAATCTATTTCAAGTTTGTATTCTAGAGGATTAAACAAAACCAAATTTTTAGGATGTTCTAGTCCGATTTCATTTTGAATTTCAAATTAGTATTATCTGATTCTGTGTAAGTTTTAAAAAAATATAAACTAAAGAAAGTAGTAGTCAAATAATAAGGGATTTTTAAATTTAACTTTTCAATTTTGAAATTGGGCTTGATTTCTATAGAATCCTATGTATTTTAATAAACAT